TTTCCACTAAGTAGGCTTCTCACAGCTTCACACACTGCCCTCTCAGGGGCACACCGCCTGGCCTCCCAGGCCTTCTTCTGAAATCTGGGTGGAAGCCTTTCGAACCTCAGAACACCTGAATTCTGCATGCGCCTATAACCAAAGCCACGTGGATGACACCAAGGGCTGCTGCCAGCTGGAGCAGTAGCCAGGGTTTCCTCTCTCGTGGCTGTATGGGTCGAGCACCTGGATTGCTGAGCACTCTGACCCTGATTCTGAGAAACAAATTCTCTATGCGGGCACCATTCTGCAATCTGATGTGGCCTCCACCTCCATTCTGGAACCCGGTGTGGCTGCTGCCTCCATTCTGGAACATGGGGCTCTGCAGCTTTCTCCTCAAAGCAAAGTCCCTCACCCTTGTGATTCTTAGGCTGTAAAGGGCAGGAACCTGCCACCTCCTGTGATGCCCTCGGGACATCTTTTCTACTCTCTTGTTCCTTCTCAGCAATGGAGATCCTCTCAGCTCTGTCTTCACAGTCCACAGCTTTCCTGGAGCTTCCTTTCTGGCCAAACTCACAACATTTTAAATCATCCTTTTGGGCTTTTTGCTCTTCATTCTTAACATAAATCTGGCTAAAAGCCCCCAACTGCAGCCATGCCACCGTACCAATATTTGGCTGCTTGAAATTTCTTTTTCAAGATTGATCAGTCCGCCATGCTTAATTTCAATCTCAGGCAAAGTCTCTGGACAGGAGCAAAATGCAGACAAGCCTTCTGCCAACCCATAACACAAATCATCTGCAGTCCAACAACCAATGCTGTCCTTCTTCCCTGCAGAAACCTCCCCAGCCTGGTCTTTACAGGCCAGCTTTCTATCAACGTTCTGGTCTTCTGAGCTCTGACCAGAATCTCCCATACAGAACAGCCGAAGCTGTTCCAGCGCTTTGCGTGTAGGCTACATCTCCGAATCTTTCCTATCTCTTCCCATGAGCCAGTCCCAAAAGCATGTAATCCACATTGTCAGGTAGAGCCACAGCAACGACCCCACTCCTCTGGTACCAAATTCAGTCTTAGTTACTTTTTATTCGTTGCTGGGACAAATACCTGACACACAAAATGAAGGAAGGAAAGATTTATTTAGCTCACAGTTACTGGAGGGTTCAGTCCATATTCCGCTGGCTCCAGGGCAAACAACAGCAGTTCATGTGGCAGAAAACAATGAAGAGCAGAGGAGGAGCAGCAGCTGCAGCGGCGTCCATCAAGCCTCTCTCTTCCTTCTGCACTGACTGTGAAGACCAGCGCTCCACAGTGTTCCGAGCTCCTCCAAAGTGGCGTGACCACGAAGACCAAGCTCCTCGGAAGACTGGGACTTCTCCACCGAAGCAGGGGAGGACGGCAGGAAGGTAGGCAGGGCTGTAGGAAGCCTTTCTCAATTCCTGGGCCCTGCCCACCTGCAGAGGCCCCCACGCTGTGGGAGCTGATTCAGCCAAGTTGACACAATGTATCAACTAACACAGCTGGGATATAGTTCAGCAGCATAAGCACCTTCCTGGCAAGCCCCAAGTCCTGAGTTTGATCCTCAGTACAGAGACAGAGAGAGAGAGAGAGAGAGAGAGAGAGAGAGAGAGAGAAAGAGAAACAATTCTGTGACCACAACTGGTGATAACCCATTAGCCCATTTATTGCAAAAGACATATGTTCCAAATATTGCCTTTCTAAAATGGAAGAAGGATTCAACTAAATTGCCAGCTACCATATCATTAAATATATTTTGAAATACAGTGGAGCACATCTGTAATCTCAGCACTCTGGGAGGCTAAAGCAGAAGGACTCCAAGTTGGAGCTTAACAGGGGCGGTTTACTCATTTATCAAGACACTGTCTTAAAATTAAGAATAAAAAAGAGGTAGGGATGCAAGGCCCTGGAATCAATCCCTAGACCTAAAGACAAAGCAACACGGGGCGGTATACACTGACAGGCTCAGTTCCTCAGGAGACTGAGGCAAAAAAATAAGAAGTCCCAGGGGCAACACTATGTCAAAATAAAAATATTTTAATTAATGGCTGAAACCATAGCTAAGTGGTACAGTACTTGCCTAGCATGCACCAGGCTTAACTACCTACAGTACCACACTGAAAAAAAAGCAAGTAACAGATGATGCTGTGACTTTTGGCATTAATCCAGAAGGGGTTCAAAGAATTGAGTAACCATATGGAAAATTGTCAGAACTATTTATATAAGCAAAGGGTCTTGGAGCTTTTTTTTGAGAGTGGCAAAAAGGGCTGTCTTGCTACATAGTTCTGGCTATCTTGAACTCACTGTGTAGCCTAGACTGGTCTCAACCTCACAGTGATTCTCCTGCCTCAGCCTCCCGAGTGCTGAGATGACAAGCATGTACAATCATACCTAGTGCAGAGCATGCATATTTTAAAATGCTGAATGTTCTTTCACCCTTTAAGTAATATTTATCCAGAGATGCATGAATGAATTAGAAAAATTTATTCATATCATAAATTTCAGAGAGCAGTTTATTTTTGTTTCTCAGTCACTTATCCAGCCCTGTACTACGGCTCACATTTGTAATCCCAACTACTCAGAAGGCTGAGACAGGAGGATCTCTTGAGCCCAGAAATTCAAAGACAACCTAGGCAACATAGACAGACCTCCTTTCAAAATGAACAAAACAATACTTATCAACATGTGTCCTTTTTAATATATTTAATACAGGGTCTCACTACACAGATCGAACACGTAGTGATCCTCCTGTTTTCAGGCTCCCAAGCGCTGGGATTACAGGCGCGTGCCACCACTCCCAGATTCAAGGGGGAGAGGAGCAGGGCACGCCGGGAATGGAACCCCAGTCCCTGCGCCCGCCTAAGCAGGCACTTTAGTCCGCTGAGCTATCAGGTCAGCCCTCAATGTGTATCTTATAGTCATATTGTTTGCATCAATCATGTATTGAAAGGAGGGCGTCAGCTCCTCCCTGGCCTTGACAGAGGCCTTCCCCAGTTCCTGCACAGTGAGCTGCTCCACAGGGTGGCTCAGTCTGTGCCCCCTCCCAGAAGGAGGGTGAGCGACACCATCTTTCTGTAACCGGAATGGATGACCACCCCTCCGTTTCGCCTTTTGCTCTTCGCTTGCCCTTGTTGGAGCCAAATCACTGGGTCCAGCCTACCTGGAGGGGAGGGGTGAATGAGACCACTTGGGAGCTGCCTAGCCCAAATGTCAGCCTGCACACAAAGCTTTCCAGAGTCTACACCTAAGAAGACCAAGGAAGAAAACATTTGCTCTCGTCTTTAAAATACACAGGAGATCGCTTCTCGGCTTTGGCTAAGATCAAGTGTAAAAGGCACAAGAGGGTGCAGAATTTTCCAAGATCTTTTTACCAGTAAGCAAACAAAGATATTTGGAGACCACTAAGCTGGGGGAGCCATTCTTTCTGCTGTGTCCTGACCTGCAGGGGCATGGCAGTGACAGTGGCCAGGGGTTGGCCAATGGAAAGACTTTTCCACAGTGAAAAACTACTGCCCCAGACCTGGGAGCTCCGATTCAGGTGGGCAGAAAATGCCGGCAAAAGTCTAGTGAATCTCCATTCAGAGGGCATCAAAGGCCGGGCAGTGGACTAACGACCGGGGTGCGCAAGCTGAAATAGTGGAGGCCGAAACTCGTGGCCTTGATCAGGTGGGAAGGAAGAAACAGAGTCAGAGGAGAGGCAGGCAGAGCCTGACTCACGGTGGTCCAAGAGAGCAGACGAAAACCGCGTTCTAGCGGATGACTGACACAATGTACAGACTGGCACTGACTGAGGATGGTACCATGTAAGTTTTCAACTTGATTGATTGATTGATTGATTGATTGATTGATTGATTGATTTGGTATAGGGTCTCGCTATGCAGCTCAGACTGGAGGTGATCCTCGTGTCCCAGCCTCCCCAGCAGTGGGATTATTGTTGTGCACCACTCCTGCATCGCATGCCGTACCAGGGAATCAAACCCGGGTCCTTGAGCTTGCCAGGGAGGTGCTTAGACCGCCGAGCTATCTTCCCTGACCAATTTTTCAATTTTAGAATGCTATAAAAGCGATCAGAATTCAGTAAAAACCGCATTTTGAATTTGGAAATTTGATCTTTACCCAGGCCAGCGACCAACAGCCCGAGAGCAAGGACCCCACCTGATCAGGAGTGCGAACAGCCCACAGCCTGCAATGCCCTGCCTCAGCCACGAGGTTCGTGAGCCTAGCTGGGCTAAACGCATCTTTCGGGGATAATCAGGTTTTGTTGTTGTTGTTTTGTTTGTTTGTTTTTTGCGGAACCCGGGATTGAACTCCGGCCCTTGTGCTTGCCAGGCAAGCACTTGTTCTACTGAGCTCTCTCCCCGGCCCCACGAGGATACTCAGTTTACAGTGGGTTTTGTGGGCCAACCCCACAGGTAGTCGGGGACCTCCGGACTAGCAAATCAGCTGACGCCTCCTTCAGCGGAGGAAGCCCGCTCCGCAGGAACCCTCTCGGGGTTCACGCTAACTCCGGCCCGGCCTGGAGCAGAAACCCGCTGCGGAGAGAAACAGAAAAGAGAGCCCTAGAAGGCAGAGCGAGAAACCGAATGCACGGCGGAGGCGAGGATTAGAAAAGGGCAGGGGCCAAGGAACCCGGCTTCTTCCTGGAGTCGCGAGTTAGAGGCTGGACGCGAGAAAAGGGGTGAAAGCAAAGGAGGAGGCGAGGATTAAAATCCACTGTTAGGCTCTGACGGTGAGGGCCGCGAGTAACTTGGAAACACACCACGGAACAAGAGCAAGTTACCAGGGACGTCCTGCCAGCCAGCCCCCGCGCGCAGCGAGTCTAGGCGGGGCCACGCGGAATGCAAGGTGCACTCGGGACGCCAACCTGGGCCCCGGTCGCCCCGCCCGCCCCGCCCCCCGCCGGCCCCGCCCTCCGCCGGCCCCGCCCCCGCCCGGCCCCGCCCACCCTAAACTTGCCGCGCCCCCATCAAGCCACGCCCCCTATCGACCCCTCCTCCTCCGGGAGGGCTGGGAGCAGGAAGCGCGGCGGGCTCCGCCGGCTCCAACGACTCTCGCGGAGGGGAAAGTCCCGGGCGTTCCCTTGCTGCGCCCCCCGCCCCGGGCCGCCGGCCCCCATCCGACAGTGCCAGAGCCATGGGGGCTCAGGGCTGCCGGCCACCCGTCGTCCCGGGGTTCCCTTTGGAGCTGCTGCTCCTGCTCCTGAGCGTGTTGGCCTCGGGCTGCGCCTCCCTGCGACTCCTGGACCACCCCGCGCCCGCCTGCTCGCAGGAGGTGAGACCCCGACGCGTCCACGAGGCGCGGCCACCCAGGGTGCGGCGGGGCGGGCGCGGGCAGGTGGTCGGGACTAAGTGCAGGACCTGGCTGGGGAGGCAGGAAGTCGGCTCTGGGGGTCGCGGGAGGGTCCAGGGCTAGAGCATTAGGATCCCCGGCGCTGAGGACACTGCGCAAGGCGGGAGTTGCGGGGCGGACCTGGGAAAAGGGAGTTGGAGCAAAGAACGAAAGAACGATCGCGCCGCGCGGGTTGCACAACCTGACTCCGGTCGTGAGCTGGAGGCGGGAGTGACAGCTCCGCCCAGCCGCGCGGCTTAGGGAAGGAGACCGAGGGCCAGGGCCCAGCCGGGGAGGCCGGCAGGGCAAGTTGGCAGGGCACATTGGAAAAGGGCTAAGGACGGGGACTCCGGAGAGGCCCGTCAGATCTGGGCTGGCTTCCCAGCCGTGCGCCCTGCGAGCCCCTCTCCTCTGGCCGGCGTGCACGGCGTGTCCCGGGGTGGCCGATATTGCCCCCGGAAACTTCCCTTCCAGCTGCTGTGCCCTAAATGCTGCCAAAGGAGTCGAACCATCCTCGGCGGCTGGCTTGGAGGGTAGTTTTGCGGAAGGTGGGGACCCTGACGGACCTCAGCCCCGACCCCGGTGAGGACCTGGCAGTTGGTGCTACACGGGCGAGTCCGGGAGTCCTGCAGGTTCGGGGATGCGACCTGACCATCTGCAGAGGGGCGATGCAGGACGGGCAGAGGAGTCTTACCGCCCCTCTCACCACCGTCGCGGCCACTCGGGTCTGGGAACCAGGTCATCGCGCTGTGGGTTGCCTGCTGCTCTATGGCTGTAAAGGAAAACACTATCACCCACCACCCAGCCACCCCCATCGCCGGCTGCCTGTGCGGGCACAGGAAGCGACACACACCCCTGCGGGTAGTTGCCTTGCAGTAGAAGAAAAAGTAGAAAAGAAACAGCAAAACACTTCTCTTCTCTCCTCCATTCTCTTTCCTCCACTTTCTGGCTTTTTCCATCCCCTCCCCTCCAGTACCACCAGAGACCACAGGGAAAGATGCTCAGTGTCTGAGTCAACAGGCAGTGAAACCAAGCTTTTCTCTTCATCTAATTTTATAGATTTACCAAAAGAGGGTGGAGGTTTACTGGGTATTTTGCAAGGAAAAACATGTTTTTAATGTGACTGATGTTGGGAAATGTTTTTAATGTGACTGATGCCCTTATAATTGCCAGTGCTGGGCAAAGCAAAGAGACATGAGCACATTAGATCTTTCCTGCAGGCTTTGTACAGATCCAGCATCAAGAGTTTGTTACTCGTTTGGGGATGGCCATTTGTCATGCGTCCACTAAATACAAAGTATTGTGCTGAATCCTGGGACTGTAATGTCCAATTAGGTTATAACCATCTGGCAAAGGGGCCTGAAGCAATTGCCCTGAGCTCATTTCATGAAGTGTACAGAATTTCGAAGAAGAGAAAAATTACTTCCTGCTGTGCAGTTCTTTGGGAAAAGACATCTGGGCAGCCCGGAGAGGTGGTGGGAGCCTCAGAGGAAAAGAATGGTTTGTAGTGGAGGGAGCCTGAGCCAAGCCCTTGGATGGGCAGGGTGAGCTATGTGGCAGGAGTGCAGGGCCTGTGGAGTAGGAGTGTGAGACAAGGCACCTCATGAGGGGTGTAAGAACTGGACTAAAAGCCTTGTGGTTTTCGTAGGGTTTGTCTGGTTTTGTAGTTCTGGGTATTGAAACCAGAGCCTCACATGTGCCAAGCAAGCGCTCTGCCCCTGAGCTACATCTCCAGACCTAAAGGGTTTTCACTTTACTTGAACAATGAAAAGGGCTAGGGATATAGCTCAGCGGCACACGGGCCTGAGTTCGGTTCCTGGTACAAAAAAGAAAAAGATAAACAATGAGGAGACAGATTCATGAGCAACAGCCCAGCCCAGTTCCGGAAGAAGCCAGAGAGGGGTACTTGTGGCCATCTCCCCTTCTCTTCCCTCCTTTCCCCACTACCTGCCAGTGGCTTACCAACAACCCACTTTCCACATTCACTACTGTTTTTAAAAAAGAAAGAAGCTAAGGCTGGAGTATTGCTCAGTAATAAAGCACTTGCAAGGCCTTGGGCTCCATCTCCCATGCCACAGAAAGAAACCGTGCGTGCGTCACCCTAGCGTCTCAGTGGACGCACTACAATATAGCCGTGGTAGGTAGGGATGGGGAGACCAGAAGCTTGCGTTTCCATCCAGACTTTACCACTCCCACCTTTTGCAGCCCTGTGCAGCTCCAGCAGCCTTTGTCTGGTCTCCTGATTTGCACACTGAGAAGACTGAGTGGGTCTGTGCCACTCAGCAGAATGTAAATGTGTCTGACACCTGCCTCCGTGACACCACGGGGGCAATAACTTGCAACAGCCTTACTTAGGTCTTTGGATATTGCCTCCATATTTCTAAATGTACCTGTGTTGTTAATTTTATCTCAATTTTAGATATTATCTGTTGATTTTTTTTTATAATGAAAATTACATTACCCCACCCCCTTCCCCATCTGCTGCGACAGTTATGCCACTGTTGTGGTGAAGGCAGTAGTCGGCATTTACATTATAATAACAACTAGGCACTCTTCCCTGCTGAGGAAGTGTGTGTATTTTGATTCTATTTTCTGGTAGGGTTTCTCCCCGCATCCCACCCCCTCAGAAGTGATTGCTTTAATTCTTCACTTGCTTTCCTTTTCACCTGACTGGTCTTAGTTTTTCTATCGTTTTCACATCACTTTTCCCTCACTCTTCAGATGTTGTTTTATTTCCCTTCCTGAAGCGAACTTCCTCCTGGGGCCCTTTATTCACCTGCTCCCCCTGCTCTGGCTACTTTCTCCCCTCCCCCACCTCAACTTGGGACCTTGCACTTGCCAATTAGGCACTTGGGCCCCTGAGCCATCTGGGGTCCCCAGCCCCCCTAGCTACTTTCTAGACCTCCAATGCATCTCCCTGGCCCCAGGTCCTGTGTCTTCCTCTTTCCGGGTTTTTCCTTTTGTCAGAGCATGTCATCCACAGTTTTCTAAATAGACAAGGGATAAATATGGACATAGATACTAAGCATATAAAGTCATTACATGTCTGAAAATCTCCATCTTAGGGACTGGGGAGATGGCTCAATAGAATAAGTGCCTGCCTGGCAAGCACAAGGGCCTGAGTTCAATCCCCGGTTCCAGAAAAAAAAAAAAAAAAAAAAAAGATTTTTGAAAATATCCATCTTCTTCCCTTAGAATTTTGAAGGCATGGCTTTGTACCCTTCTGGCAAACAGTATGCATTCTAAGAAAACAATGCCATTCTGTTTCCTAGCCTTCCTCTGAAATCCTAAATACCTAATGTTTTTCTTTGGAATCTTTTAGGATTTTTAAAAAATTATTATTCCTGGTATTCAGTGGTTTCATAAAAACAGGCTGTGTTTTGAGTCTTCTTTCTTCATTTGTACACAGCCATTCAGAGCAAGATTTTAGTTTCTTTATGAATTTACGGCAGGGTCTACAGGTTGTACAAGGTCTCATTACATAAATCGGACTCGTAGTGATCCTCCTGTTTTTTCAGCTTCCTAAGCGCTGGGGTTACAGGCTCCCACCACCATGCCCAGTCTCAATTGCAGTTTCAGCGTACCCCAGGGGCAGGCCGGCACAGCATACCAGGGATCGAACCCTCACTGCCTAAGCAGGTGCTTTAGTCCACTGAGCTGGCTGGCTGGCCCTCAATGCAAGTTTTTAATTTGGCCAAGTGTGATCTTCAGCTCAACAGTGTCTTCTTTTTTCTAAAATAATTTCTCCCAGCTGGGCATGGCAGCGCGTGCCTATAATCCCAGCACTCAGGAGGCTGAGACAGAAGGATCTCCACCAATTCAAGGCCATGTTAAGCTACAAAGTGGAGTTCAAGGCCATCTTGAGCTATGCAGCAAGACCTTGTCTCCCAAGAGTTATTATATTATTAATATAATAATTATATAATAATAATTTCTTCCATTTTGTTTTATTGTTTCTATAGTCTCCTGGAAATCCCTTAAATCATATTTTGTATTTCTTAAATTGATTCTCTAATAGTAATATATTTTTTTCTTCTATTTCAGTTTGTATTTGTTCTTTGAGAGAAATCCTTAATTTTATACCTCAGACCTTCTAGTTTTTTCTACCATCTTACTGGGCATAGATTCCAGGGTCTTGCCCATGGTAAGCAGATGTCTACCGCTGAGCTAGTGCCCACTCTTGCACTCTTTGTTTTTCAGGTTCATTTTCATTCCCAATTCACTTGTTTTCCCTTTCTTTATCTTATAGCTACAGTGTCCTCCCTTTTCTCTTTTGGGGCTATTATAATTTTGTTTGTTTGATTTAATCTTATTCTATTCTCATCGTCTTGTTTCTCTTAGGAGCATTTTTTCAAAATTCTGCTTTAATCTGTTTATCACCCAGCAAATTCATCTCAAATGTTGGATCATCCTGGGCTGGCTGAGAATGTTGGGAGGAGGAAGAGGAGGAAGAGAAGGAGGGAAGGGAGAGGGAGGAGGGGGAGGAGGGGGAGGGGGAGGGCCTAAGAAGCCGACTGATGCCTGTAGTTAGGGTCCCTGCGCCTGTGGAGAAGGGCAGGCCAGTCAGTGCCCCAGGCTCTTTCCTCTGGGCCCCGCTGCCTGTGCTGAGGCGGGGCAGGTTCCAGTGTTTCCCGGGGGTCCGACACTTCCTGCCCTCCTCTCTGCAGGCCTGCTTGTTACAAGGGCCCTGAAGGGCACTGAGCCTTTTTCCTGGCCACAGTTTCCTTCTGCAGCATTCAGATTAAGTTGTTCCACTCAGCTAAAGCTAGTTGCCCACAACTGCCACTTAGATGTTTGAAAATGTGTTCACGTCGGTCCACTGAGGTTGGCTCTGTGTCCTTCAGTATACAGGTTTAAACTGTCCCTTTCCTGGAATTTTCACATGGTTTAAGAAGATAAGTGTACATAATCGATGCACAACAACCTTAAACGAACCTGGTGCACTGACTTCGCCTGTGCCTATCTCTCTACTTTGTTTAAATCCTCCCATGGGGCCGGGGAGATGGCTCAGTAGAAGAAGCACTTGCCTGGCAAGAGCAAGGGCCTGAGTTCAATCCCTGTTTCCACCAACAAAAAGGAAAAAAAAAATCCTTCTTCCACTTGTGCCTCTCTGCTCCATCTGCTTTATTCCCAGAAGCCCACAGGTTAGCAGCTGATGTAACTCTGTCCACGTGTTTTTCTGGGTTCATGCAGTCAGACTCAAACATTTAGAAATATATAGGAATTGCTTAATTCCATAGGAAATGGGAACTTGCTGTAAAAGTTCTTTGTAACCAGGCTTGGTGTCATGCGCCTGTAGTCCCAGTGACTCCAGAGGCTGAGGCAGGAGGATCCCTTGAGCCCAGGAACCTGAGATTAGTCTACTCGGTGTAACAAGAGCCTATCTCAAAGAAGTTTTAATTTTAAAAGTTCCTTGCAACCTATTCCTCATCTCAGTGTCACTCCACATGAATACATATATATGTCACTAATTGTCCTTAATATTTACATGATAGTGTAAGCTATTCACCCATTTCCACTTTGACAGATATTTGGATTTAACTGATTCCATTTCATTTAGCTGTTGGATTTTTTTGTTTTGTTTTTTCAGTCTCTTTGAGACAAGGTCTCACTACACAGTTCAGGCTGGCCTTGAGCCCCCGTTGTAGCCCACACTGGTCTTGAACTTGCAAAGACCCTCCTGCCTCAGCCTCCCAAGTACTGGGATTACAGGCATGCACTACCATGCCAGGCTCTGACAAGCCTAATTCTAAGACTTGTCAAATTCGCAGAGAGAGAACACTATGGGCCAGTCTCACTTATGAATATCACACCAGCAATTCTAAACTAATGCAGTAGCAAGTTTAACACAGGAGAATAGCAAAAGAATAATGACACTGTAATCTGGTAGGATTTATCCTAGTAGTACAATGTCAGCCCAGTATTATCAAAATATCAACATAATGTGCAGTGTCAAATCAAAGGAGAAAACCTACAAAGTTATATTTTAAAATACTAGAGGGCATTAGGTAAGGTTTCTGCCTGGTTGTTTGTTTTTGTTTTTTTCTTTGTTTTCTCTTGTACTGGGGATTAAATTTAGGCCCTTCTCACCAAGCTGCATCCTCAGTGCCTTCTAGCTAAATCTAAAAATTGCCTGCCTCAGCCTCCCCAAGTGTTGGAATTACAGGCCTGCGCCACCTTCCCACCTTCTGGGCTGCCTTTAGCACACCATAAGCATGTGAGGAGAGGTTTGTGGCCCGTGCTTTTGGTGCATAGTGCACAGCTCCATGGTAGGATGGCGTGCGTGGGCCGAGACATGGCACAGGGAAGGCTGACCCTACCATGACAGCCAGAAAGTGAAGGGAGGGACAGCAAGCGGATGAGCCCTTCCAGTCATCCTGGGGATGGCCTCCTCTGGCCAGACCTCACTTCCTAACATCATCTATTAGCCCCTGTCCTCCAATTACCTTCCAAAAGCCCCCCTGTGAGGGCACAAGCTTTGGGGAGACATCACAGTATAAACCATGCTGAAGGAAAGTACTTAAATACAATTGTATTTATCAAAATCCAAGGGCCTGGGAGGTAGCTCAGTAGAACAAGCACTTGCCTGATAATTGCAAGGTCCTGAGTTCAATCCCTAGTACCAACAAAGAAAGAAAAATCCAAGACCAAAATGGTAGTTCATGGTGACAAAACAAGTCCCTCCAGCATCCTCAGTGACAAGAGGAGGCCCCTCTACACTGGTGGGCTCACTACGCTCTCGACCCTTTACACAGGGACCTACTCCTTTCCTGGGGGCCGCATGGTGTTGGAGTAGCCAGACGCCCATGACACTGAGTTACCCATTGTCAGGGACATGGCGTTATGGGCTTGTCATTAGGAGGAGCACCCGCCTGAGAATGAGAGAGCAGGCATCTGGTCCTCCGAGTTGCCGTCCTAGCAGTTTCCAGTGGGAGGCAAAAGGAGAGAATTCCTGCGCTCAATCAGTCTCTGCACCCTTCAGGACCTGCAAAGCTGGTCCTCCTGATAGCCCCCGGGGGCGGGGGGCGTGTGTTTACCATGCCCTAGGGCATTCCATTGTGCCTGCTGCGATGGCTCTGCACCCTGTGTGCAGATAATCAGCACAGAGAGGAGCAGCGCCACCGGCCCCCCACCCAGGTCAGGGTTCCTGTCTGTGTCATTTATATGTCGACAACATGACAACACTGGTGGTCGGATTCCGACTTTCCAGTTGAAGCTCAGTGAGGCAACTCAACCCCAGGAATGTGAAGGGGTGTGTGTGTGTGTGTGTTTTCCAATATAGTCAGCTGGCGAGACTGAAGCCTACTGTTCCGTGTCCCTGCTGATGTTGATCCCTGGGCTTTATCAGTTGACCCTCAGATCGGCCTTGGATTAGGTCGCTATGTGTTGCCAGAGTGAGAAGCAGTAAGTGTGATAATAGTACCTTGCACTTCGGCATCTATCACGTGGGGCAGGGTGTGTTCACGTGTGTGTCATCAGGGCTGGGGGTGGAGCGCTGCTTAGCTTAGTCAGGGTCTTGGTTTTCATCCCCAGCGCCCCCAAAAAGGATTTTGATGATTGGTGACTTTACCAAAATATAAACAATATCTAATATGTGTGTTATATATATAAATCCCAGGATGTGCTGCAGCACATTTTTTCTAGTATACTTATAGAGATCGCATGAATTTCCCCTGAGGTGTAACAAGAGTTGTAATTTTGCCCCCTGCCCCTTCTCTACCTCTTGCACCGTTATATGAAAACTGAAGATTAGAGAGCTCGAGAGCTTTAGGGGACTTTGTAGTCTAGAGAGCTTTAGGGGACTTCATAGTCCAGCGCCCCATGAGAATCCTCTGTGTCCTGTAAATAAAGTTCCTGCTTGGAGCAGCGACTCCCAAAGACGCCACTCCCTTTTTGCCATGCATTGTGCCCCTTATGTAGGAAGATGAGCCTCCTGCACACTGAGAACGGGCCCCCAAAAGTGAGAAGCGGTGCTGTGTACCTTTCATTCTCCCGAATGAGCCCGGGGAAGGCATCTGGAACCCGGCATGTGAATTAAAGTCCTTTCTCGGTTGTAATTACCACTTTCTTTCTTCCCACAGGGGCTAGACTGCACAGTCAAGAATAGTAAGTCCTCTCTTTGTGTTTTCTGTTCCACTTCTTGTTCTGTTGATGAAGCAATAGGCTCCTGCCGATTTCTGGCAGAAGCTCTGCCACCCCATTCCAAGTTCAGACCAAGGGCTGTCACCAGCCACGGCACGTCTCAGATGCAGGCATCTGCGTCTCCTGTGGGAAGCATTCATATGCAAAGTCAGGAAGTGGGACTCCAAGTTGTCACTTGGACAGGATTCTCTGGTGTGCTGCCCTAGCGTACCCATAATGCAATCTGACCTGCCCCCGCTTGTAAGGCGAGACATCTGTGGTATTGGTTTGGTTTGGGCTTTGGCTTGGGGATAAGGGGCGGGGTCCTGTGGTTTTCCCTCATGCAGAGAATTTGAACCTAGACCCTTGCCCGTGCTAGACAAGCACCGTACCTCCCCAGCCCCTTTGACTGCATGATTCAAGGAATAGGCAAATACTTTAAGTCTACTAATTAAGGAACCTAAGGTATAAAAATAAAGTAGCTCTCCTGCCCCATCTTCCTCTGTCCCTTTTTCTTCATCTTAAAACCTACCTCTTGGGTTAGGGAGATAGCTCAGTGGTCTAAGCACATGCCTGGCAAGCACAAGGTCCCAAGTTTGATCCCCAGTACCGCATACCATGCCAACCATTGAAGTGGGCATAGTGGTGCACGCCTACAATCCGAGCACTGGTGAGGCTGAGGCGAGAGGATTCCTACAAGTCTAAACTGTATAGCGAAATCCTGTATCAACAACAAAAATCAATTAAATATTTTTTAAAACCCTACCTCCCCAAATGCCCTTTAGATTCTGATCTTGGCAGAGACCCCAGATCAGCATTAGAAAAGAGCCAGGAGGGAAGTAGATACAGAGACCTTCTAAGGGTCACAAGGACCCACTGAGGGTCAGTTCAGGGTCCCCACTGCAAGTCCATGACTGTTGCCTCTCTCTGGCTGCCAGGTACCTGCCTGGATGACAGCTGGATCTACCTTCGCAACCTGACCCCCTCCTCCCCAAAGAACGTCCAGGTCCAGACCCATGTGGCATACACGAAGAATGGAGACCTCGTCCCCGTGGTGCACATCGAGTGGACGCTGCAGACAGATGGTAAGTGGGTACCCAGCCAGGTCCTGGGGCCCCCCATCTCTACATGTACCACGGCTCAGACCGTCAGGCCCCCCACTCAGCCTCAGCCGCGAGGGCCCCAGTTGGAGCTAGAAGGTCTCATTGTATCCAGTTAATACTTTCTCAGTATTTTAAATATGCACCCACCGGAACAGCTTCTAATCACATCATCCTTCATGAAAGCCTTTCTTTGGCCCAAAATTTTTATTACCCTGTAAAGGAGGAGGGAGGGAGCAAGTGGTTAAGTTGTATCATTCCAAATATTTACTAAATAAGCTGTAGTATATTTGCTGCCCTCCTCTTTCCCTTTACTGGAGCTGGTGTTTTATAAGATCCTCCAGACTTCCTCAGGGCCCAGGAGTCTGATTACAGAATTGGGAAGATCAGGACTAAGCAGTGCCAGTCCTGGGCTGGTGAGCAGGCTGGAGGGTCAGTCCTCTGTGTCCCCTGGCCCCAAGTTCACAGAGCTTCTGCTGCTGGCCCAAGGTAGAGTGTCACTTGTCATCCAGCAGGGAGCAACTGTCTTACAGCAGTGGGCTGAAGCCCAGGGTGAGCTGAAGGGAACAGGAAGCGGGGAGTTAGGTAAGATGGGTAGATCTTCTTTCAGAAGTGAGTAAGCACAGCGAATGGGGAAGTGGCACACCCATGAGCCCAGCGACTTGTCTCCTCTCCCTCCACCGCAGCCAGCATCCTGTATCTCGAGGGCGCCGAGCTATCCATCCTGCAGCTGCACACCAACGAACGTTTGTGTGTTGAGTTCAAGTTTCTGTCCCGACTGAATCACAACAAGCGGGTAAGACACTTGGAGCTTGGAGCTCCTGAAGGATCCTGCTCCTTTGTTGCTGCCAGTGTGTATTATCCCCAGACCGGGCTCTAACTGAGAATGCACGAGACATAAAGTGTTTGAGGGGCTGAAGAACTCAAGGTGGTTGCCTCAAGGGACAGGGTGTGTTGCTGAGAGACAGCCTAAATACCTCTCCCTTGCACCTAGCTATTTTTTCCTCCAGTTCTGGGAATGGACCCAGAACCTCAGAACCACTAAGCGCTGAGCTACACCCCAGCCTTCAGCTGTCCCTTCTTGCTGGAAGAAAAAACATTGTCCGGGCGAAACACATGCTGTGAGCGGGGTGCTGCCACAGTGTGGGCTTGCAAGTAGCTGCTAACAGCTAGCAGGGGAAGTGTTGATTCTTGCTTAGTTAGTTGAAACAGTGATTCCCAAAGTATGTTCCCTGGACCACCAACATCACCTTCAAATTTGTTAGAAATATTTATTTCCAGGCCCCACCCGGCACCTCAGAAAGTAGAGGTTGGTGTTTAACACCCTCTGGGTGCTTCTGATGCCCGAGCTAATTTGAAAATGACTGGTTTAAATTCTGCAGATAAAAGCCGCAAAGCAAGTTAAGGCCTGGGTGTGGTTCAGTGGTAGAGTGCTGGCCAAGGTAGCAGAGGCCTTGGGTTCCATCCTCTACCACAGAAGCAGACGCGCAGGCAGGTGGCAGGCAGGCAGGCAGGCAGGCAGACAGACAAAGAAAACGAGCTCCATCTCCCAGAGACACAAAAGACGGAGACAGATTCCCCTGCAGTGTGAAACGGGCACCAGAGCACTTTACTGCTTTGTGAAAGATGAGCACCAGGTCCCAAGATCTACTTCGAAGCGGAGGGCACCTAACTAAGGTCCTCAGACTTGGAGCCAGACAGAGTGGGGCTCACCTGAGGTCCCCGCTGCACCAGAGGCTGAGGTGGGAGGGTCTCTGAGGCCAGGAGTTTGGGCCGTCGTGAAACGTAGGTCTCTTGAAATAAAAAGAATGGCAGTTGGAATCACCGTGTGTATGGAAGACAGCACAGCTCTGTTATCTCTGAACAAAGGTGCCTGGGGGTCCAGGGTGAGTGGGGAGCTCCAGCTTTCCCTCTGAACTTGTCTGCTCCTCAGAGGTCACCAGCTGTCCCCTAGAAGAAAGAGGTCATCCAACAAATTGGGTTTTTGATGCCTCTTTTGCTCCAGGTCTCCCGGCTCAGGTTCCTTACGCCCTTTGCCCTGGAACTGCAGGGGATGGGAGGGAGGGCCACCTCTGCTTCCTGCAGTTCTTTTTATTTGGGGATGGGGGCCTGGAGGTCAAAGCAGAGCATGCAAAGCAGGCGCTCCACCACCCTGCTCCCCACCCTTCGCTCTTTCTTTTGCATGTGACAGCGTTCTCTACTGATGAGGCCAGATCTAGATTATTTCAAGGGGAAAAAAAGGCGGGAAGAGTGGAGGAAATAGGGGCTGGTGAGATGGCCCGGTGGTCTAAAGCACCTACTTAGAACAAGCTTAGCAAAGCACAGGGACCGCGGTTCAATCCCCCAGCACCACATGCCAGCCAGCCCCGCCCCC